AATACAGAAAATGAACAAATGAGATAAAAAAATAGAAGATCTAACGGTTGTAAATATCAAATCTAGCGGTTAAAATACTCTTAACATTGAAGTCTCTTTCTAAAATAAAAGTCATAATATAATTTAGGGCCCACTAGAAATGTGAGATCAACGGCCTAGAGAGTGAAAACGCTTCCAATAAGTCGTTCTCCCGCCAAGCACTTAAACCAAAAAGACCAAAATCTCCAACGCTTACACCCGCCAAACCCTTTGCTTATGGCTTATAACCTCGTGCACACCAACTGTTCGACGCTTTGACATGCAGTTCAAGCAGCTATTTCGCAGGACAAACCTGATCAACATCCTCACCCAGCAACAAACCCGCCACTATGCTCACGATCTATTTCCCAACAAGGTCTCCCACTACCTCCACCGCGCCAAACTCATCGATTCCATTCGTCTCCAGCTCCGGTCCAACGCCCCAAACTCTCTCGCTCCGCTCGCAAACGACCGGCTTCTTGACTCCTTTGTTGTCACTCAAGCCCTCCGTTCCGCCCCCTCCGCCGATTCCGCCCTCTCCCTCGTTGAGTTTCTCGAATCAAACCGGCGTTTTGATCATACCCAGAACACGGTTCATGCCTTGGCCACCGTGCTTGCCAAGTCTCGCCGAGCTGCGGAGCTTAATTCCCTCATTGAAGCAGTTCATGCTGGGAAGTTTCGAAATGTTCGCGTCAGCTTCATGAATGTTATGCAGTGGAAGGCTGCAGTTGGAGATGTCGAGGCAGTTGTTAAAACATGGGATGAGTATAGGGTCAGCTCGGAGAAACGTGTGTGCGTGGAGTCTTATAACATTGTGATGCGCATTTTTGCGCAAATGGGGAAAGACTCGGAGGCGGTGAGGGTTTTTAGTATGATGATTGAAGAAGGGGCAATCCCGAATAGTCGGACTTATACAGTGATGATTGAGCACCTTGTGAGTTCTGGGAAGTGGAAATCTGCAATGGAGGTGTTTAATGTGCTGCCTTTGATGAGGGTAAAGCGAACTTTGAACCAGTTTTCAGTTTTGGTAGATGCATGTGTTGGTGTTGAACAGTTTGACGAGGTTGAGAATTTACTTAATGAAATGCGGGTTGATGGGATATTGCCCGGGCGAGCTATGCGTTTGTCTTTGCAACGGATTCAAGAGGCGGGGTTTGTTCATGAGACTGATGAATTTCTAAGAGAAATGTTGCCGAATGGGGGAATCAAGAGCATAAAGCATTGTGTTGATAGCGGTGATGGTGATGATGATGACGATGAGGATAGTGGTGAGGATGCTGGTGATGTTGGTGGAGTTGATGATGTTAATGGGGTTCAGTTAAAGCCGTGGTTAGACCCAAGATCATTAGCAAATGCCTTGCAAAAATGGAACTCTGATGAGGTATCAGCATTGGAGGAGGCAAAATTTGTGTGGACAACTCGTTTAGTATGCAAGATTCTTAGGAATTTTAAATCAGCAGAAACAGCTTGGAGTTTTTTCTGTTGGGTCACTTGTCAGCCGGGTTTTACTCATGATATTTACACAGTACAAAGGATGATGACCCTTTTAGCACGCCACGGGCTTTCTGAATTGGTTGACCAACTATTAAACAAAATAAGGATTGAGCAAATGAGATTGCCCTTCTGCACTATCAGGTTGATCATTGATTTTTATGGTATCTCAAAGGAAGCTGACGCTGCTCTGAAGGTCTTTCACGATGATAGAAACCTGTGTGGCCCTATATCGAACTTTAATTTGATGCTTCTGTATTCCTCTCTTTTACGAACATTGACCAAGTGCGGGAGGGATTCTGATGCATTGGATGTGCTTGAAGAGATGATTATGTCTGGGATTGTTCCCGATATCCAGACGTTTTCAGGGTTGATGCATCATTTTGCACTAAATGCGGACATCAAAACTGTGCAGAAACTCTTTGCAATGGTTAGGCAGAGTGGAGTTCAGCCAGATGCTTATATGTTTAAAGTCCTGATCCAAGCATATTGCAAGTGTGGGAGAGCTGCTCTTGCGTGGCGGGTTTTTGAAGACCTACGGAATTTAAAGTTGGTGCCTGACGCCGCCACAAAAGAGCTGCTTGTAAAGAGTCTTTGGAAGGAAGAAAAGCGGAGAGAGGCTGCCGCGGTGGAAGAGAGTTGTGAGGAAGTAAGTGACGCCCTTCCGCTCACATTGCGCGGCCACTTATGGACGGTAAGCTCTGCTGATCTTACAAAAGTTTTTTCTATTTACTCAAATAGTTTCTTATCAGCTGGCGGGTAGAGTTTTTGTACTAATGGTTTACTATGTAGCGGAATACTTGAATCGTGCAATCGTGAAGTGAAGGACTATCTACAACTACAGATACTGTCTTAAATGTGTGCGCTTGTATTGTTATGTACTGGTATTTATTTTTCCCTTCACAGTGGATGGAAATTAGACAAATCGCATGTCCTTAATTAATCATTTGCTTTGTAGACATGTTTTCTTTTACATTGTCTGATTATTTGTTTCTACTGAAAACTTTAGTATAGCTATTGTCATTCAACTACTGTGGGTGGACGTAAGTGGCCCTTTACCACAGTGGTGGAAAGGTGTTAAGCCCTTGCACGACGGCGTGAGTTCAAATCTAGTCGGTGACAAATCACGACGCGTAAGCAAATGTTGCCATAACTAATTGAGAAGCCTGCAGAATTTTAGCAGGTCGTAACAATGGCGATCTCCTTCCTCTGCTCCAAACCTCTGTTTTCTTCTGCTACTCTTCTTCTTCACTGCCAGAATTTTAGCTCAATCAGCACCATCCAACTCGAGCACAAGCTTAATATCGAATCACACCAGATCAATGAATTTTTTTTATTTCAACACCTATGTCAACTTCACACCGAATCATCCGGAACAATGACCACTCCAAATTGAGAAAACAAATTCTGGTGAATTTCTGATCACAAATATATATTAATCAAGGCTATTGATATTGATTAACCCTTAAAACTCAATGTCAGCTTCCACCCCTTAAAACTTAAGATGACTCACTACAGGCAAAGTTAACCCCTAAAACTCAATTTCAGTTCCGTCACCGTTCAATATACACCTGGTGTGTATTTAAAAAGTGCACTACTCGTCCAATAAACGATTACCACGTAATAAAATCATTACACGAAATAATGTGTTCAAAATGTGACTTCTTTGTCTAACTAATAAAAACTTGACACTTGGCAAATTTGGTTGCAAAAGAGCATCCTTACTACTACGAGTCCCAACATGTCACGATTCCCAAGAAGCAAAGTCGATCTACTAGTCAGCGAGAGATAAAAAAGAGGAAAACTAATGAAAATGACTTAAAACTCTTGAGTTTTAACGATAAGGACAAAATAAAAGGTAAAGTGAATAGTATCAGTATTGACTTTTTAGTGTAAAAATGTGGTTTTTCATTAAAATGAACAATATCAGGAACTTTTCGTTAAAGTTCCTATAAAAAAGAGCGAACATTTGGAGAAAGAGATTGAAGTTCAGTATTCTTATTGGAATGGCAAGCTAAGACAGTTTGTCAAAATAGTACATACGTTTTTGGCATCCATTTTATACTGCTTATTTAATGCGTTAGAGTAGTTTATAATATTATAAATATTTTTTGTCTTATAAAAAAAATAGAAATCTCATGCACAATTTGTGGGGTTAATGAAGGCAGCCATTAAGAATTGGCAAGATTGAAACTATTTAGCCGTTTTCAATCATGGGCTCTGTATTAAACTTAAATTAATGACTAATCCTCTGTTTGACTATAGTGTCAAATACTCATTAGCCAGGCCGGATAACGACAAGTATATCTAACTTCTTATTTTAAGCATGATTTAATCCTAATCAAGTTTCTAATCTTTTTCTCGAATTTATTATCAATTTCAAGATGCAATAAGATATTCAAGTACAAATTCATAGCTGAGGAACTGCCATGTCAGCAACTGAAAAATTGTCAAAAACTCAGGTCTATAAAAGGCCTGTTTTCCTTGTAATTCTTCATTCATCAGAATCAAGCACAAAGTCATTTGTTTTTCTTGCAACTCTAGCTGTTGAAGTTGCATCAACACCAATGGCGGTCATCTTTCTCCTAATTTTCGTATCGTTTTCGAGCAGCAACTTTGCATCTGCATTGCTACCCACCACAGGCCCTGATTTTTCATGCTCTGCAGACTCCCCTACCTCATGTCAAGCATATGTCATGTACATTTCCCAGCCCCCAAGCTACAAAGCTACAAGGATCTTGGATCCATAGCTGATGTCTTCGGTGTTAGTCGCTCATCGGTTTCAAAAGCGAATAAACAAGTCTCCGCTGATGGCCAGTTGGTTCCGGGACAGCCCTTACTAATACCTATCAACTGTGGTTTCACCGGAAACCACTACTTTGCCAATGTGACTCAGGATGAACAGAGGTGACACTTATTTCCACGTACCAGCCACTTTGTTGGAAAACCTCACCAACCTTCGCGCGGTGAAGGACTTGAATCTCGGTTTGAATCCCACTGACGTGATGCCTGGCTCCGATATAATCTTCCCTTTGTTCTGCAAGTGCCCCTCCAAAGCTCATTCCAACGCAGGGGTCAAATTTCTCGTTACTTATGTGTGGCAGTCCATTGATGATGTCTTCAATGTGAGTAACAAGTTTGATAGCTCAGTTCTTGACATACTAGCAGCGCCGCAGCAGGCTCTCCCATGTTGATCCCTGTGTCACAATTGCCACAATTTCCGCTTCTTCCTCATCCTCACTCTCCCAAACGAAACTCATCCAAAGATCATCGGATCCACATTGCTATCAAGAGCTCATTAGTTGCTTTACTGATTGCACTTTTAGCAGCACTGGTGGTCTATACTTGTAAGTTATCAAAGAAAAGGAGGGAAATTTTCGAGGTCATAAATTATGAGCCTGAAATCAATCAGGATAAGCTACTTTCCGGGATTTCCCAGTATATAGGCTAGTTAAGCACGTATGAAAAGGAAATGATAATGAAGGCAAACCATGAACCTTGACGAGCATTGTCGAATTCGGAGTTCAATTTACAAAGGCAATATATATGGGAAGGATTTGGCCGTGAAGCAAACCAAGGGAGATATCAAGGAGGAGCTGAATATCCTCCAAAAAGTGAATCATTTGAATCTGGTGAGCTTGTTAGGCACTTCGTGCGAAACTGATGGGAGTCAGTGGTTCTTGGTTTACGATTATGCTGAGAACGGTTCACTTGAAAAGGGGTTGCACCACAACTCTGCAGCCTCTTCATCATCAAGCTCTGCGTTGCCTTGCCTCAGTTGGAGCCAAAGAATACACATAGCTTTAGATGTTGCGAGTGGTCTGCACTGCATGCATGATCACACGCAACCGAACATTGTTCACTGGGACGTCAGGTCGAAGAACATCCTTCTGGACTCCAAATTCAAGGCCAAGCTAGCAAATTTCTCAATGGCTAGAACTGTTGCAGACCCTACAATGGCGAAAGTGGATGTCTTCGCATTTGGGATCCTTCTGTTCGAGTTGCTCTCAGGAAAGAAGGCCTTGACAACAAAAGATAATGGAGTAAATGTAATGTTGTGCAAGGAAATAAGGGAGGGTTTGAGGCTTGAAGAGGAGAGAGTGGATACGATTATGAAGTTGATGGATCTGAAATTGGATAATCGCTATTCTATTGATGGTGCTTTGAGTTTGGCAGCCTTGGCATGGATATGCACTCAAGAAAAGGCTTTGGCAAGGCCGAAAATGGACAGAAGTCGTCTTTCACCTCTCGGTACTTGCTCAGTCATCCTCTAAGACAATGCATAACCCTTCAAGTTCAGAGTTAGAACCAGTTAGCATTGTCAAAGTAGTCATTCCAGTGCAAACATGCTGATTAGGGCTGGCAAAGAAAGTACTATGTCGTAATGCTTTCCCTCATTTTCTTACTCACCAAACAGATAACAAGAAAACTCTTGTCATTGGTTTGAGGTAGTAACATTATTGCTTCCACTCCACCCTGCAGAATGGAGCTTCTTTTCCTGTTACCAACTCCAGCAGAAAACCCCAAAAGGCATAGATATCAATTGCAGGTGTCACCAATCCATATTCCGTTTATTCCATTTCCATGTAACATTTTGGTACGCTGGCATACCTCATAGATGAATTCCCAATTGATTGCTTCTCCACTGACCGCGGTAGACTGTAATTTGCAATCTTGGCCCTTAACTTTTGTTGAGTAGAGCATTCATACTGCTAATATCCTTGTGTACATAAGCAGGACTGGTGAAGTTGTGCAGATAATGAAGCCCATTTGCAATGTCCAAAGCAATCTGAATCCTATAATTCTAACTCTGAACTTCTGGACAACTGTTTTTCTTGAGCCAATCTCGTAATGAACCATTTTCCATGAACTTGTACACTAGGTACAAATCCTCATCGTGTTCACATGCACCCAAATGTCTAATCAGATTGAAATGGTTGATCATTTTCAATAACTTCACCTACTCAGTCATATCTTTGCTCATTTTTTTATGGCTAGCACTTTTCCGTTGAGAAACCCCTGACACACAGAGCACCCCAACCAGTTCTTTTCGCTGAAATCCTCTGTAGAACCTTTCAACTCTTCATATTTGAAGACTCTCAACCAAACATCAATTTGAGCAATGGTAAAAATTGTCTTCCAGCAGTGCCCTTTTCTTGTTTCCTTCTGTATTCTTTTAAGAACCCTTTGTCTGGCGGCAAAAGAAGACCACATAGATAACCAAACAGAGAACTAGCAGAAGAATTTCAATTCCAACTTCAGCCCAAACACATACATTCTTAGATCTTCTATTTCCATGAATATGAGTAAGCAGAGGAGAAAGGAATGGCGGTGCCTGGGTTGAGAGCTCCAAGGCTCTACCAACAGTGGAATTAGAATCGGTGTAAATGCTAACAAAGGAGTATCATCCTCTGAAAACCCATTTGCATAAGCTACACTCTTTACACTTGCATTAAATCTCTTACTGACTTTAGGGACCGAATCATCCAAGCTGACCAAGTAAGTCATTAGAAATTCAGTACCATCGGCAGTTTGGTTGCTTGCAGGACAAGCACATCTCAGCGGTACCTCTAACTTCATACCGGACAACAAGTTTAATGCACTGTAATTGTTCTCTTGCATGAGAGCAATACAAGTAGACAAACTCTGATATGTCTGAGTTGCTATCGTAAATACGTGTAGTGTATAGGTGGAATGCTATAAAGGCCTTTGGCCTCGTAGTACTGACCTGAACAAGAACAGACTACCGGAACAATCACCTCTTTGTTCTGTGGAAGCAAGAGAGTATGGTCCGAGACAGTGTTGATCTGTGCAAGCTCGGACAGGTCTGAAGCTGTGAGGTTCGATATGGCAGAGACAGAATCATAAGGGGGTTGAGAGTGGAAAATCAGGAAAGCCTTGCAGGACTGCTTTTTTACATTGCAGCTGCACAGGAAAGCTGGGGATGGGCTTGTTCCCTTATTTTCAATACAATCAGAAGCTGAGTTTCCTAAATAACTTGAGCTTTGAGTTTCGGAATGAACAACAATAAAATTAAGAGCATGAACATAGAGCAATCCATGATCAAGTTACAACTTTCTGTGAGGAATTTTGGCAGAGAAGCTTAAAGTCTTGAAGTTTTGTACTACTTGGCAATGATTATGTCTGCAACATCAGCATTGCCGTGTTCTAATTGTTTTGAATGATCGAATTTTTGTACTTATGTTGACTAATTAGGCTTATCACATGGAATTTTACCAGAAAATAAGCCCTGGTTGGGACCCTAATTCAACTCATACTGAAACTTTAATCTTATTTAAAGGAGCAGTAACTCATTAATTAAGGTAGTTTAGGGTAGGAATGTAGGGGAGAATCATATGATTAGTAGCACTATTGACTAGGCCATATTAATAATCCAGCTTTGCTATGTTTTGTTCGCTACAACGACATTGCCTCATTATCAATGAATGGCCGTTCTTTATTAATAAATGGACATTCTGCACAGAGAATTTCCTAAAAATATAATTCTGCAAGAAACAGGTCAATTTTCTTGGTCAAAACATTTCTTCCAGTCATTGTTTTAGTTCTTCTAGAAATTTGCCCGAGGCTTTTTACTGCTGCATATCCGAAGAATTTCCCATAATTTATACACAGTAGCAGCACATGAATCTGAACCGGGAAAAGAGAAAGAAGAGCAGTAGATTAAATAAAATCTAGCTTTAAACTAAGCAGTTGAATGAGATCCTGTTCCAGTTTCGGTGCTACTAAGAACTCCCACTAAAGTTTGATAGCCTGAGATGTTGCTTGACAATTCCCCAGTGAATTGCCCATGTTTCTTGACATAAATTGCACCATCTCCTCCATGCTCGGGCGAGCAGCAGGGTTTCTTTTCAAGCAATTATCAATCAGTTTGATCACGAAAAGAGAAAGTTTTGGAGGATAACTCTTTTGCATAGAAGGGATCCATGAACTCCTTCAAACTCTGCCCTCCATCTTCGTTGTTAAGCAGAGAGTATACTACATCAGACAAGCAAATATTCTTTTTGTAAAACATAGCAACGTCTTTTCCAGTGAGTACTTCCAGCCTGCGAGCGCCAAATGCGTAGACATCAAGCTTTGTGGATATCAAGCCATTTTCCAAGTACTCAGGAGCTATGTAGCCTATGTTCCGACAATGTGATTTGTCAAAGAAAACTCACCTTCCGGTGCTTCTGTTGACCTTGCTAGACTGAAGTCTGCGATCTTGGCCCTGAAATCGCTGTCGAGAAGAATGTTACTGCTCTTTACATCCTTGTGGACATGGGGAGGAGTGGTGAAGCTGTGGAGATAGTGAAGCCCTGAGGCCACATCCAGCAGAATCTGTATTTTTTGTGTCCAATTCAGGAACTTCCCGTGATTGCTGCTGTAGTAGATCCAATCACTTAATGGTCCATTGACAGCATACTCGTAGATAAGATATGAATGTCCATCATTAAAGCAAACGCCAGAGAGGCGAATGAGATTAGAATGGCTGACCTTTTTTAGTAAATTTATCTCTTTGGACACATCTCCATTCATCTTCTTAATGGCCGCCAAATCCTCATTAATTTTGGCACAATAAACAGACCCTTAACCATATAAGCAGTACTAAAACCACCTGTTGCGCGTTGCAGATCCTCAAATTTGTAAACTTGGAGGGATTGAGCTATGCCAGATAAGCCTCTAAAAAGTCCCGAGACCTCTTCCTCCACCTTTTTCCCTTGTGGTTTTTCAAGCGGCTCAAAGCTCTCTGAGGCAATAATTGGATCAAAACCCTTCTTAGTACTTCCACGGAAGAATGTGCAGAAGATAATGTCGCCTATGACCAATACAAGTCCGCCTCCGCCAAGAGCCCCAAAAAGGGTGTAAACCCATGTTTTGTTTGAGTTATTGGAGGGTGGTGGAGGTATTGCTGGAGGTGATGGTGATGATGTGGGAGGCTCTACGGTTTGAGAACTGTTTGGAGGGTTTTTCAAAGGAAATAAAAGTGTGGTGAAGGGAGCCCATTAGTTTCAAGAGTTCTCCCTGTATCCGAGCCAAATCTCGTGCTGATCAATGGAACATAATCACCTTGAGCGATTAAGTAAGTCAAAAGATACTTGAAACCTAGGTCAGTTTGGTTCTTTGTGGGACAAGCACATCTAAGAGCAACAATGAGTCTATCACCAATGTACAAGTTTTCTGCAGTTAGATTACTATTCTGGTTCAGCATAGCTTGACATGTCGAAAGGCCTGGCAATGTGTTATTCGCAACAATTAAAAACGTATCGACCTTCACAACAACATGAGACATGTTTATCTGATAGTACTCACCTGAGCAGGAGCAAGTAATCGGAACAATCACCAACTTGTTGGTTTCGAACGTTGCTTCTCAGAAACCAAATTTATCTCTGCCAGCTGAGACACGTCAGAAGTCAGCATATTGGAGATGGCAAAGACCATGTTGTAAGGTGCCCGGGATCTGAAGGTGAGGAATGTTTCGCAACTCTTGCTTGCTCCATTGCAGGTGTAGCCAAGAACAGATTTTGAGTAAGTTTTTGGGTTGTAACAATCCGTGAAGGTCTGTCCCTCGTAAGGCTGCTGAGCAAAAATCAAACAAGAGCAACAAAAAATGGTGAGAAATGTAGCAGATATGAGATGGGGCATATCCATTTTTCTTGAATTGAATGATTTGGAGTTGTTCTGTCAAGACAAAAATGCATAGAAAGATTTGGTATATAATTCCAATATCACTAACATGGAGTTTTGTATGGTGAATTGTTAGCACAATTTATGCAGAAAGCAGGGTGGATTTAAGAAGAATTGTCTGGTTGAACACTTCTTTTTAATCTTCAGAATATGATCTGTAAGTGGAGTTAATCTTTAGTTAGTATTAAAAAAAGGTTTTTTTTTTTTTTTTTTTTTTTTTTCTGTTCTTATTAAGAAAAGTAGGTTTGTGTTATAATACTCATCTTTGGGAGTTGTCAACATTGGTTAGGAAGGCACTCAAGAACAAATAAATACTTGTTATGATTTTCAAATCCTCGTGTGACAAGATACATATACTATCGTATTCTATTGGTGTTTTCCTTATCACGTGACACGGCCCAAATTATACCCAATAATTCCTCCTGTATATGATGTATCAGACGGGCAATTAGACTCTTATTCAACATAAGGTCCAACTCTCCAAATCTGCATTTCACACGGCAGAAACTTTGCCAACATAGATGTAAAAGATTTTCAAAGCATTAGTGCTTTATGTTGATTTACAGGAAGAACACAATCAAATATATCTGGCCTAAGTAGATATGGCATCTGCAATGGAACTGTTCAGTAATATTCATAAACATCGTTGAGTTCGGAACAAGCCTTCTAAACAAGCCAATAAATGATCTAGAATACATGTTACATCTTCTCCTTTTCTACCAAGTTTCTGAGCATAGATACAATATTGTAAAGAAGAAGATAAATCCTATACAAAGACAATAAGCAAAGCAATGAAAATTACATTGACAGTTACAAAAACCTCCGATTCCTCGTATCTCTGTTATGACCAGCGAAACTCCGAGTATTAGACAAAAGATGCAGCCCACGATACTATCACGCAGTCCGTTAGCGACCCAGACAGGTGTGACGACAAACAAGAGAACGAGAAACTGCACACATATAATCATCAGAAAACGAAAATCTAAAATAACAATACAATCATATCATAGACATAAGTCAAGAAGTACGTCATGGTCAAGATTAAAAAGATACCTGGAACAGTTTGAGGAAAGAAGAGGTTTGCGGCAACAGCCAGAAAGGAAACCCAATAACCGAATTGCCCCCTGCATACTTCGATTTGTAAGTTTGATGGATATGTGGGCATATTAGTTATGGAAATTTGAAAGGAAATGGTCAGTAAGCACCTCAAAATTTTGAACAACACTGTTGGGAAGCTTGTAAACAAGTACAGTACAAGAAAGTTACTTTGCATGGCTGATCTCCGCCCTGCTCGGTTCAAGATTAACAAAATTCTGTACAAAAAAATGTTGGATTCGGGGAATTAAGTACTGTGCTAAGAGCTATGTTGACATGTCAAAATAAGATGGAATCAAATGTAGTCTATCTAAAGTTTCCTTCTGAAGACCTCATTGATGAAAGAGGTTTTGGTAGAAATTGAATCTCGAGAAAAGGTGATCATCATTGACAAATATCAAGTAGCAGTCACAAACAATACAACGCCTGTACTGGAAACCTTAACCCTGGACATATGAAGTTTTGGTAAATTGTAAAGTGAAACAAAGAACACATCAATAGACAACAAAATTTGATCCAAAGGAATAAAAGAGAAAAATTTGCTATTCAAGCCATTATACAAAATCTATCAGACAAGGTAACGATTTGATCGAAAATATATCTCAATGTATCAAGTATCTATCAGTTACAATAAAAAATGTCACAACAGTCAAATTTAAGTACAAATTACAGATTTTACTTTCACAGGTACTTTAACATTCTCTAATGACCTATCAATCTATCATACTCATAAATGTGACTCGCGAAACTTCAGTGACAACAATGGAATTAGACGAAAACCAAAATACTCGTGGTCAGGGCCACTCAAAACAAACTAATAAATTTAAACTGAAAAATAATAGGAAGAAAGGTAATTACTTTGCTCTGTCATCAATTACTCAACTAGAAATTTCACAGGATTTTCTCATATGTTTCTTCTTCCAGTTTAATTTATCAAACCCAATTCAGAATTTAAACAGATAGTTAAAAGGAGCTGCAACAACAACAACAACAACAACAACAACAAAATCTTTTCCCACTAAGTGGGGTCGGCTATATGAATCCTAGAACGCCATTGCGCTCGGTTTTGTGTCATGTCCTCCGTTAGATCCAAGTACTCTAAGTCTTTTCTTAGAGTCTCTTCCAAAGTTTTCCTAGGTCTTCCTCTACCCCTTCGGCCCTGAACCTCTGTCCCGTAGTCACATCTTCGAACCGGAGCGTCATTCGGCCTTCTTTGCACATGTCCAAATCACCGGAGCCGATTTTCTCTCATCTTTCCTACAATTTCGGCTACTCCTACTTTACCTCGGATATCCTCATTCCCAATCTTATCCTTTCTCGTGTGCCCACACATCCCACGAAGCATCCTCATCTCCGCTACACCCATTTTGTGTACGTGTTGATGCTTCACCGCCCAACATTCTGTGCCATACAACATCGCTGGCCTTATTGCCGTCCTATAAAATTTTCCCTTGAGCTTCAGTGGCCTACGACGGTCACACAACACGCCGGATGCACTCTTACACTTCATCCATCCAGCTCGTATTCTATGGTTGAGATCTCCATCTAATTCTCCGTTCTCTTGCAAGATAGATCCTAGGTAGCGAAAACGGTCGCTTTTTGTGATCTTCGCTAGATTGCTCCGGTCATTAGTGTGGATAAGTATATAAATGGATAGAGATAGGAAAGCAAACACAAGATGTACGTGGTTCACCCAGATTGGCTACGTCCACGGAATAGAAGAGTTCTCATTAATTGTGAAGGGTTTACACAAGTACATAGGTTCAAGCTCTCCTTTAGTGAGTACAAGTGAATGATTTAGTACAAATGACATTAGGAAAATATTGTGGGAGAATGATCTCGTAATCACGAAACTTCTAAGTATCGGAGTGTGGTGTCGTCTTGACTTGCCTTATCTGTCTCATAGGTAGATGTGGCATCTTCTCTGGAAGTACTCTTCCTCCATCCAGGGGTGGTATCTTTAACTGGTGGAGATGCACAAGGTAATGTATCAATTTCACTTGAAGCTTACTTGTAGTTTCAGGCTTGGTCAAGCGCGATACAAACCATGTAGTAGGAGTCCCCCAAGTCGCCGAGCTAGGGGGTCTGCTGAAAGAGGTGACAGACAAGGTAAGCAATCAGAGCTCCGACTGATTGTTCACCTTCTCCCCATCTTGCAGCAGCATGAAGGATAAAGAGAAGAAAAATGAGAAGAGATGATATGAGATACTTTTGCTTTTGAAGAAGTAACTTTCCACAGGCTTATTCTTGAACTGAGCTGGAGGGTTTTCTGGTTTCCTCCAGAGTATAAGGCCGACTGAAGAATTTGAGGGTCAAAACAAGTCCATCAAATCTAGAGTACGTTCCACCCTGCTGATATGGGATACTTTTGCTTTTGACAGAGTAATGGATGTATCGGCACGTGTGCTGTTACGCTTGTCTCCACATGCTTCCTTGTATCCTTCGCACTTGCCCTATCTGTTCCTCAAGCAGATGCGGAATCTTCCCTGGAAACATAAGATGTTGAAGATGAGTACTCGAGAGCAATGCCAGGTAAGTAATCAGGTAAGGGGTTCCAGGCAGTCAGTTCCTGGCTGGAAGCTTGATTCCAAGTGCTGACTGATTGCTCTCTTTCTCCTTGTCTTGCAGGTAAAAACAAGGCCAAAGGAAAAGACAGGGAAAAAGCATGATATGGGATACTCTTGCTTTTAACCCTGATGATATGAGATATTCTTGCTCTAGTATAGCTTGTTTGCAGAGGTATTATCGGGGGGAAAGAAAGCTGAATATTTCGAAAGGCTTCGTTGGGAGTGCCCTCTCAGATATGATGAAGGGTTGAGCATTTTTTGCAGGTCTGCCTGTCCGTTGGGGATGGAGGTCGACATATATAGGAGTCTCCCTAACAACAAGTAGTAATGCTATTCCTTTACCCTGCTTGGTCATAGCACGGTAGTGGGAGCTGCCAGTTTCACATGTTTTAACTCTGTCAGAGCACTTTGAAAAAGTGGTCTGTGGTATCTGGCTCTCGAGATTCGGAGAACGATGCCTCTTCGATTTTTGAGAAAGCAATCATGCTGGGGGTCTGGCTCTCGAGATTCGGAGAGCAGTGTCTCTTCGATTTTTGAGGAAAGTAATCATGTTGGGAGTCTGGCTCTCGAGATTCGGAGGGCGGTGCCTCTTCGATTTTGGAGCAAGCAATCTTGTTGGGAGTGTTGTCTCGAATGTGAGTAAAGGTTGGGCATGTTTGCTAGTCTACCTTGCCACGAAGCACAAAGGTTGACACACAGGGACTTTCCAATTATCCAGCAATGGTACTGTTCCTTTACCCTCTCTTCGATTTTGAGAAAGTAGTCATGTTGGGAGTCTGGCTCTCGAGATTCGGAGGACGGTGCCTCTTCGATTTTGGAGCAAGCAATCTTGTTGGGAGTGTTTTCTCGAATGTGAGTAAAGGTTGGGCATGTTTGCTAGTCTACTACCTTGCCACGAAGCACAGAGGTTGACACACAGGGACTTTCCAATTATCCAGCAGTGGTACTGTTCCTTTACCCTTGTGGGTAATAATATGGTAGCTAGACCTTCAAAATTTATGTGTCTAAACTTTGTTAGTGCTGTTTCTTTGCTATTCTTTTACCTTTCTTGGTCAGAGCGATGTAGTGGGAGCTGCAAGCTTCACGTGCTCAACTTTGGCAGAGAACTTTGGCAAAGTTATCTGTGGTACCCATGAGCTATTGTTGCGTGTGGGAAGTGGGTGATTGAACAGTAAGATTCATGTGCTTTCTACTTCACCAGAAGTCTTCGACAGAATGCCCATAATTTCTGCAAAGCTGAGTGTGCGTGTGACAGGTGCTGACAAGGCTAGAAAAGTAGGTGCCTCTTCGATTTCTGAGATCGGCCCTCGTGGTCTCTGAGCAGCCCAGCTTTTGAGAAAGCGAGCGCCTCTTCGATTGATTCGGAGAACGATGCCTCATCGATTTTTGAGAAAGCAATCATGCTGGGGGTCTGGCTCTCGAAGATTCGGGGAGCAGTGTCTCTTCGATTTTTGAGAAAGTAATCATGTTGGGAGTCTGGCTCTCGAGATTCGGAGGGCGGTGCCTCTTCGATTTTGGAGCAAGCAATCTTGTTGGGAGTGTTTTCTCGAATGTGAGTAAAGGTTGGGCATGTTTGCTAGTCTACCTTGCCACGAAGCACAGAGGTTGACACACAGGGACTTTCCAATTATCCAGCAATGGTACTGTTCCTTTACCCTCTCTTCGATTTTTAAGAAAGTAGTCATGTTGGGAGTCTGGCTCTCGAGAGTCTGGCTCTCGAGATTCGGAGGACGGTGCCTCTTCGATTTTGGAGCAAGCAATCTTATTGGGAGTGTTTTCTCGAATGTGAGTAAAGGTTGGGCATGTTTGCTAGTCTACCTTGCCACGAAGCACAGAGGTTGACACACAGGGACTTTCCAATTATCCAGCAGTGGTACTGTTCCTTTACCCTTGTGGGTAATAATATGGTAGCTAGACCTTCAAAATTTATGGGTCTAAACTTTGTTAGTGCTGTTTCTTTGCTATTCTTTTACCCTTCTTGGTCAGAGCGATGTAGTGGGAGCTGCAAGCTTCACGTGCTCAACTTTGGCAGAGAACTTTGGCAAAGTTATCTGTGGTACCCATGAGCTATTGTTGCGTGTGGGAAGTGGGTGATTGAACAGTAAGATTCATGTGTTTTCTACTTCCCCAGAAGTCTTCGACAGAATGCCCATAATTTCCGCAAAGCTGAGTGTGCGTGTGACAGGTGCTGACAAGGCTGGAAAAGTAGGTGCCTCTTCGATTTCTGAGATCGGCCCTCGTGGTCTCTGGGGAGCCCAGCTTTTGAGAAAGCGAGCGCCTCTTCGATTTCTGAGATCGGCCTTCGTGGTCTTTGAGCAGCCCAACTTTTGAGAAAGCAAACGCCTCTTCGATTTCTGAGATCAACCCTCGTGATCTCTAAGCAGCCCAGCTTTTGAGAAAGCAAACGCCTCTTCGATTTCTGAGCAGGCGCCTCTTCGATTTCTGAAGCTCCGTCGAGTGCAGATTTTTTATAGGGGCTGGCATTAAGTTCCAAAGCACACTTGAATCTCCACCAGTAGAAGCTTCATTCTTGCACTTCTAAGATCTTGATTTGTCCGACCTCTTCTCTCTTCAACACCTTTGAAAATGTCTGGCCCCTCCGACCGTCGTTTTGACTTGAACCTTGTTGAAGAGGCAGCCCCGCCTTCTCCAGACAACATATGGCGCCCATCCTTCGTCTCCCCTACTGGTCCTCTTACCGTTGGGGATTCCGTGATGAAGAATGATATGACCGCTGCGGTGGTGGCCAGGAACCTTCTCACTCCCAAAGATAACAGACTACTTTCCAAACGGTCTGATGAGTTAGCTGTTTAAGGATTCGCTGGCTCTCAGTGTTCAGTGTGCAGGTTCTGTGTCTAATATGGCCCAACGCCTATTTGCTCGAACCCGCCAAGTTGAATCATTGGCGGCTGAAGTGATGAGTCTCAAACAGGAGATTAGAGGGCTCAAGCATGAGAATAAACAGTTGCACCGGCTCGCACATGACTATGCTACAAACATGAAGAGGAAGCTTGACCAGATGAAGGAAACTGATGGTCAGGTTTTACTTGATCATCAGAGATTTGTGGGTTTGTTCCAAAGGCATTTATTGCCTTCGTCTTCTGGGGCTGTACCGCGTAATGAAGCTCCAAATGATCAACCTCTGATGCCTCCTCCTTCTAGGGTTCTGTCCAGTACTGAGGCTCCAAATGATCCCCCTCCGGTGCCTTCTCTTTCTGGGGCTCTACCGACTGCTGAGACTTCTCCTAAGCAACCTTTGTGAAGGCTCCCTCTTGTGTTGTTTATTTTGACTCATGTATATGTACATATTTGTAGCTTATCGGGGATATCAATAAATAAGCTTTCCTTCATTTCAACGTATTGTGTTAAATACACCAAAGCCTTCTTCGCTAAGTTCTTTGAATTTTCTTTTGTTGAAGCTTGTATGTTGAAGCTTTCTGAGTGGAGCATGTAGGTTGGGGTAGTGTTCCCTTAATTTCCCGAGTGAGGAAAACTTCTCGGTTGGAGACTTGGAAAATCCAAGTCACTGAGTGGGATCGGCTATATGAATCTTAGAACGCCATTGTGCTCGATCCTGTGTCATGTCCTTCGTTAGATCCAAGTACTCTAAGTCTTTTCTTAGAGTCTCTTCCAAAGTTTTCCTAGGTCTTCCTCTACCCCTTCGGCCCTGAACCTCTGTCCCATAGTCGCATCTTCTAATCGGAGCGTCAGTAGGCCTTCTTTGCACATGTCCAAACCACCGTAACCGATTTTCTCTCATCTTTCCTTCAATTTCGGCTACTCCTACTTTACCCCGGATATCCTCATTCCTAATCTTATCCTTTCTCGTGTGCCCACACATCCAACGAAGCATCCTCATCTCCGCTACACCCATTTTGTGTACGTGTTGATGTTTCACCGCCCAACATTCTGTGCCATACAGCATCGCCGGCCTTATTGCCGTCCTATAAAATTTTCCCTTGAGCTTCAGTGGCATACGGCGGTCACACAACACGCCGGATGCACTCTTCCACTTCATCCATCCAGCTTGTATTCTATGGTTGAGATCTCCATCTAATTCTCCGTTCTTTTGCAAGATAGATCCTAGGTAACGAAAACGGTCGCTCTTTGGTATTTCTTGATCTCCGATCCTCACCCCTAACTCGTTTTGGCCTCCATTTGCACTGAACTTGCACTCCATATATTCTGTCTTTGATCGGCTTAGGCGAAGACCTTTAGATTCCAACACTTCTCTCCAAAGGTTAAGCTTTGCATTTACCCCTTCCTGAGTTTCATCTATCAACACTATATCGTCTGCGAAAAGCATACACCAAGGAATATCATCTTGAATATGTCCTGTTAACTCATCCATTACCAACGCAAAAAGGTAAGGACTTAAGGATGAGCCTTGATGTAATCCTACAGTTATGGGAAAGCTTTCGGTTTGTCCTTCATGAGTTCTTACGGCAGTCTTTGCTCCTTCATACATATCCTTTATAGCTTGGATATATGCTACTCGTACTCCTTTCTTCTCTAAAATCCTCCAAAGAATGTCTCTTGGGACCCTATCATACGCTTTTTCCAAATCTATAAAGACCATGTGTAAATCCTTTTTCCCATCTCTATATCTTTCCATCAATCTTCGTAAGAGATAGATTGCCTCCATGGTTGAGCGCCTGGCATGAACCCGAATTGGTTGTCCGAAACCCGTGTCTCTTGCCTCAATCTATGCTCAATGACTCTCTCCCAGAGCTTCATTGTATGACTCATTAGCTTAATACCCCTATAGTTCATGCAATTTTGTACGTCGCCCTTATCCTTGTAGCAATTTCAAAAAATCCAAATCATCGATTCATCATATGGTAAGTAGGTAATGGAAACAAAGTCCAAATCTTGAGAGTTTAACAACACATAGCCATCCTTTTACACCACATGCATCCAATCCAAGCAAACCAAAATCAACAACGTCTCACTAATTCTAACTAATACTGCAAGCAATGGAAGTAACATTCGAATTCATGAATTGGGTTTCCAGATTTCAACCAGCCGGGACAGTTGAATACAAAGTAAAACTGTAAAAGAATGAAAAAGTTGATTTTTTGAGTAGTGAAGGGACTCACAAGGCAAAGACGGTTCCACCCCATTGAAAGGCAGCTCGAGCCCTGCTCGCGCTCGATCCAAATCCATCTTCTGCTTCTCCAAATCCAACATTTGCAGCAGCAGCCGCCAATCCAGCAAACCCCATGTCCATATTCTCCCTAAAAATTCAATTTTTTTCCACCATTATTTCTCCATGGTTTCTGTGGAGTCCGTGGACTGGAACGGAATGGTGGGTCGGAAACTTTTGAAGCAGCAGCCGCCAATCCAGCAAACCCGTGTTTTGCTGCCTAACGATGGTTGAATTCCACGTGCCGGGCATGCTTCCGCGACATGTTTTCGTCTTCGCCTTTCGCTTTTGTTTTGGTCTATTTTCCTTTCGCTTTTGTCTTGGTCGAATATTTTTCTTTCGAGAGTGCTCGAATATTCCCTTTCGCTTTTGTTTTGGTCGAATATTTTCCCTTAAATAGTTTTTCATTTTTTTTCTTTGTTTTTTGGGCCTCGTGTTTTGTTTTTTGTTCAAATGCCGCATGTTCCGTTGATGCAGCCTTATTACCACCAAATCTGGTCCAAAATCACGAAGAAAGCTTTTTAGTGGTTCATATTTCACACAATAAATTTCTTCAAATTCTTGAACCCACGTTTAATCGTTAAATTCAGCAATGTATTATAATTATATTAATTTTTTAGTGGTTTAATATTTTTAAGTTACAGATTTTCACATACTATTTTTAGTTTCTTAAACTCCCTTTTTTATATTAAGCCATTGGATTAATAAATCAAATAGAATCAATGATCAAGACTAAAGTACTACAGAAAAACTTGCTAAATACGACGCTAAAAACTCGTCGTGTAAACTCATGAAAGCATCGTTTATGCGTTTTAACGACGCTTGTGATTGCATCGCAACAAACCTATGTTGCAAAAGTTTTCACAACTTATTGCGACACATTTCAAGCATCGCAAAGTTATTTTACGACAGCTTTGCGACACAATAGTTAGCGTCGCAACTGCTTTGATGGTGGAATTAAACAAAATATTTGAGACATGTTTGACACGTTGTAAATGCTTTTATCCCTACAATTTTTTTTTTTTTAAATACAAAATGGTTGGAAATGATATTTGTTCAATGAAAGATTGGGTTGCAATTTATAATCTTATTCACAATCATCTCAAGTTCAAAAGTAAAATAATATATGAATCAAAGAACTATGCTTTTAGAATTCCTAATAACATTGAAAGTACACCATCCACATATCCCAAAACATATAATCCTACTAGAGTCAAATATAAATAATCTCGTCTCAAAAGTTATGAACATATTTTTTTTATTTCAAATATGCTCCAACATATTCAAGAGTTTAATTATGATCAAGACTCTTCATCACAATCTCCATGCAAACCTGAAAAATAAGAATTACACAGCCATCAATAACATGTGTCAATTAAAAGTTTAATCTTTTGTATAATGTTTTCTTTACAAACCTTTTATGAAAGCAATTGTTTCTATGCTTCTGGGTCTAACTAAGGTTGCTGCTCATTACTCCCATATGTTTCTTGTAGATGGCTTGATATATTTGGAGCCTATATTTAACACCAACACGACAAATAGAAATCAAAATTGCTCAAATTTTCACACTAATTTATTTTCATTCTAATTTATTCTAATAAATTGAAAAGAGAACAAAATCACATTCGAATGTATATACTTGTCCACTTCCGCTTGGTGATGTGTTAACATGGAAACCAATATGAGTCATCACGAGATGGAGTTTCGAATTGACTTCACTATACTTGGATCGAAGATCTTCAATTTCATATTCATGCTTAGCCTTAAGATCATCTATTTAGTCTTAGATTGTCTTTCTACCTCTTCTCGTATGGTGTCCTCATTAACATTGGAAGATCTTAAACTTTGACAAACCACTTGAGATGGAGTTATACCTGTTCCATACATGCAAACACGTCCATATGCATCAGGTCCCATAACTCTAGTAAACACCTCATCTCGATAATCCTCGTCTTGCTCATGCTTCACTTTCTTCCAAGCATTGATTAAATTGATTCTACAAAACATGACCCAACTAGTTCAAATGACCAAAAGATAAAAATAATGCACAACCCAACTAATCAAAACGATGTGAATATGCAAAGTTTTTACTTCGAGTGAAAAATATATAAACTAACTGATACTTACAATAATGCGGCCACTTTCCTCATCGAAAAGTTCTTTGTCATCATTCTTTGTTTTCTTTGTTCTTTTTTTTATAAACATGGTCAACCGATCCGTTTTCTCTCCCTTCTCTCTCATCTTAAGAGAACACGATGTTTAATCAAGTTAGTAATGAAAATTGTTAAATGGAGAAAATAAAAACTTTCCAGCATTCCAGCATGTCGTATTCAAATTGGACCTGGTACAAATTATACCATTCCAGTTTTCTAGCATGGTGTGTGTGTGTGTATATATATATATATACATCCCACTGCTTGTATTAGTATTAGTACTATTGTTAATTATTATCACTTATTACTGACTGCAAAACTAGTGTTCTGACCTCATGTTTCAATTGAGCAAATGAAGTACGACCAGTTCAATGAGGAGCACCTCCATGTGCATGATTAGCCTTATCTGCCTCAGAATATTCCTACACATGTTTAAAGAAACCATAATTCATCACTATTATAAACTTAAAATGTAATTTTTCCTAATTTACCTTTACATTAGGGAGGCCCCAATACTTTACTAGTGTCTTCCATTGATCTGTAGTGACTTGAGGAGGAGTGAAGGATAAATGTTTTTCATCGGTCAAGTATGCGTCATACCATCTTTGCTTAACCCGACACTTCCAATCCCTCCATCTATTGCCAATAACCTTTTAAGCAATGAAATTTATATGCATCAGGGACATCTGTGTTATCTTGTAATTATTAGACGATAATTATTATTGAAATGAAGACTTGTGCATCTGAGTAAAATTAGTAAATTTTGTAAGTGTTGTTTACCGTGACTTCTTTCCAAATATCATCTAATACATGATCAGGCCTTTCAGTCCATGAAACATATGTTAGAGGAACATTTTGACCATTTCTTGCTATAATTCCAAGTTGTCCACTAAACCTAGTTGCATTTTCTTTTATTGGCTTCCATTTAAAATCAAAATCAATATGAACTTTTGTTCCAGTTCCCCATTCTGAGATAGAAAGAGCAGCTCCTCGACCTTTCCTAATACCTTCAGATTGATTTTCACCTATAAATTATTCATTATAAGCAAAATATAATTTGAATGATAGAATAAAAAACTAGAAAAAAGAATGGTCCTTTAGCATTGCAAACCTGTTTCGTTTAATGGAGTTGCCAAAGGCTCATTCTCACAACTAGAGGCAGATGGATTTTGTTGTAGTTGTGTCTCTAATTGAGATTGTGTACGCCTTGTAATCGATGGCTGTTGTTGAGTTTGATTCAATGTGATATGCTAAGATGGCCTAGATAACTGAGGCTGATTTGAACTTTGTCCACGCTGCTGAGATGGTCATGCTTGTGAACTACCCTTTTTAGCTCCCATTGGAGATGGGGGAATCAATTCCTCCATTGCTTTGCCTCTTCCCCTCTTTGGTGCCATTTTCTGTTGTACTAAAAAATTAGTATATACACACGATGAATCATCATAAAAGATTGATGTAAATAATTCATAATATGTAACCGAGTACCTACCAAGTACCTTATCAAATGCTACTCCATGTGCACGATTATTAATCTAACATATTTATATATATATAGAAGTAATAAAGTAACTAATATAATTAGAATTTCCAAAATAGTGTCACATGATAACAAGAATTTCTAAGATAATCATTAACTAATACACTATATGGCCAATCATTCTTCCATCTCATTTTCAGGAGGATCATCAACTTCTTTAACATTTGTGTCTACGGTTGCTCCATCCATTCCTTCCCTGACCCAACCAACATCTTTATCATTCATAAATACAGTTTCATCCAATTGTTAGGGTGCATAAAGCTCTACTTGAGGCACTATTGTTGGGGTGTGGGAAGAATCCTTTGAACGCATATCAAATAGATCTTTTACAGTCACATTAACAACAACATGCCAATCTGAATCAAATGGATCTTGTATATAACAAACTTGCTTTGCATCTCATGCTAAAATGAAAGGCTCGTCCCCCACAACATTATCTTTGTATAACAGATGATTAAAATTCACTAATGTGAATCTAAACTCATCTTCTTTCATTCCACCAACTGCATCAACCCAATTGTACTTAAACAAAACAAATTTCAAAGTATTGGTATATTGGATTTCAACCACATCTTTCAACACTCCATAATAGGTGACATCACTTGAGCAAGGCTTTTTGTCCTTAACAGTAGCGTAGCTCATAGTGTCAACTTTCGATACAACACCAGAATTTTGAGTGGTTCTACTTTTTTCACTTTCTTTCGTATGAAATTTGGAGCCATTAATGGCATAACCTTTATATCTTCGTGAAAATTGGATAGGTACATTAGCCAAAGTGATGATGTAAAAAGTCATGCATTCTTCCATTAAGCGACCTTTGGCAACTGAGGCCTCAGGATGCGCACGATTACGCACATAACACTTAAGTGTTAATAAGTACCTATGTGTAATATAATTAAAATATCATCTAATGAAAATAGTTAATATAATAAAAATTACAACTACAATTTTCAATAGGATACATCCATCTAAATTGGACAGCCCCAGCAACCAATGCTTCCTTAGCTAGATGGATAGGCAAATGTTCCATTACATCAAAGAAAGACATTGGAAAAATCTTCTCAAAATGGCAAAGTGTATGCACAATTCGCTCTTGAATATGTTCCAGATCAGACTGTACATTCACTTTTAAGCAAAGTTGTCTGAAGAAATTAGTGAACTCAATCAATGCTTCAACAACGTTCTTAGGCAAAGCTCTGCGTGCTGCTATAGGAAGTAATTGTTGCATTAATATATGATGATCATGACTCTTAAGACCCCAAATACTCCGCTCCTTCATGTGTACATGTCGAGAAATATTAGAAGCATAACCATCTGGAACCTTTGTTCTAAATGGGCTAAAACCATCTAATGCTAAACCAAGTCTGACATTACGAATTCCACTAGCAAAATCTGGATATTTAGCATCAAAGCTTTCCATGCAGGTGTATCAGTAGGGTGCCTTAGCACACCATCATTAATACGCTCCTCGGCATGCCATTTCATAAACAAAACAGTTTTGGATGACATAAAAAGTCTTTGCAATCTTGGCTTCAATGCAAAATATCTTACTTGTTGAGCAGGTATTTTTCTCGCAGAATCGGCTTTTGAACTGATTTTGAAAGAAAGTTAAGAATCGGCTTTTGAGAATTT